ATATAAATATTTTAGGAAAAATAAAGGTAATTTAGGAGGACAAGGTGCTTTGTGCTCTTCTGTGTTTACATGTGATCATGTCTTGGATGTGAGCAGCCTGTTCCCAGTGAAATTCTGCTACTTGTGGTTGAGAGTGTGAAGACAGCGCGGGAAGCATTGGATTTGGGAATCCACAAACTTTTAGCCATAGAATATATTTTTTACACCAAGTGGAAATATTCACATTTGCTTGTTAACATGGAGGTTACTGTAGACACTGTTAGTCTGTTTGAGCACACCATCAGATAGCCCTGGGAGCAGGATCAATATTCCTATTGCTAATTATAATAGTTTTTTTTATGGAATAGTGACAACAAAACAAATAAAGCTAGATTATAAATACTGGTTACACATTTGATATCACCAGACCGTCGTACAATATCTGTGTTTAAAGTGTTCCTTTTCTTGCCGCAGTTCATCCAGGCTTATTCATCAACACAGTGCAAGTGCACAAGGTTCATACTGCATTGTTAACAACAACCACACAAACCGTACTGTTTTGTATTGTTTGCTATGAGTTACTGCTTTTTGCTACTTTATACTGCTCATTGGTTAACCCCCTCAAATCCCCAAAACCTGGTTAGTTCATATAGGAGCCCTACAGAAGGATGAACTACTTGCTGTGGAAACTGTTAATTTATGTGCTCTCTCAGCTGTTGACCTGAAACCTATTTGTCAGTGACATTGATTAGGCAACCATAGATGGGTACATGTCTCTCCAGAACTGATAGGCAGGTAGACATCTGTCTGCCCTCTCTAGCACCAGGATGTCCCTCAGCTCGCAATCTAGCTGAGGGACATCAGGAGAACACTTCTGAAAGGTTAATTCGGTCAAACTGAAATTTTCCAGTAAGAAAGTCATGGCCGTTCTATTGAGTGGGAAGATGGGCAGGTTGGTTTTCCTTCCCATAAGTATGGTCTGGGTGACCAGTAGAGAGCTTAGGTCAGCTGTTTCTCCAAGAAAGGAGAAACTACAGCTCCAGCAACTCCGTTTCATCTCCTCTATTACTCTTTATGTAGCCATCCCAGCAAGACTGTTATCAAAGTTTTAATGCATACCTTTAGCCCTAAAGATATAAAACTGAATAGGTTCTAACTGTACACCGTGTATCCAAAACTATAAAAAGAAAGCTGGAGTTACATATTAATTTAATATCTGAGTACAGGACCATTATAAAAGCTGAGAGTATCCTGTAACAAGCGGGCTGGAGGACCATAGAGAATTCTGTTCTGGGAGCTGAAAAGCCGTAAAGAGCGGATAGGGAACCATTTCCCCACTCGACTTAAAATTGAAAGTCATTCTTTTTTAACACTGCTGTTCTCGCCATCACACATCAGCAAACTGTCAATTCTGTAGCTTCTTTTAGCCTTCAGGTGTATAATTCATTATGTGTTCATATCTATTTTTACTTTTTTATGTCATTGCAGAGCTTTCTAAGCACTACAGTCATAAAGGTGCACTGGAACAGGATTTACCATCTGCTACAGATAAACTGAAAACTACAAATGATTGCATCTTGTCTTCACTAGTCGCTCTTAGAAACGCAGCCGGCAAGGTAATTATATTGATTCCACGATCTCCATTGCTTTTTCTTATCCCACATTATTGTATCATGGTTCTAGGTCCTTGATCTGTGTCCTGCTTATCCTATTATACAGGCAGTAATCCTGGGTTTATAATTCAGTATTTGTGATAGTAGGCATTGGTGAGTAAAATAAAATCAAACCTACGCTATCCAATTGTATCTATAATTTTAAATATAAAGGATGCATAGGCCTTTTTTTTCACTTTAAGAGCTTGTTCACACTAATCCATTCTTTGCTTGGGGGTAAATAGGACCCCCACCACCAACACACACACACACACACACCAAGGGTTAATTGCCCATTTTGGTCTAGGGGCTAACATGGAGGTTGCATAATAATCTTTGCTGTGTTCTAGTATAACTAAAGGCAGTTTTTTTAGTTTTGCGTAGAGGAGAAGGCTTGGTACCCCTGTCAGGTTTTTATTGCTGTCTGTGTACCCACTTGGTAGAGTCTCCCACTGTATTTGTCTTGTGACCATTGTCACCGAGAAGGAAAGAATGGGAAATAGTTGGTCACCCAAACGAGAGAGCAGGAAGCTAAAGTGAAATCTCCCCAATGGGACTTACCCAAAATAAATGTAAACCGATTTTAAAGCGGTAGTAAATTTATCCCAAAAAAACATCCACACTGACTGCTGCGCTACAATGCAGAGCTGCTGGTATGCGTTAGCAGTCACAGTGCTGATGTGCTAATTGCCTTATCTTGGCAAGGCAATTGGCACATCGCCACTGTGACTAACGAAGCCAAATGTGAATGTGTTTTTTTTTTGGTGTGAATCAAGCCTAAAGTCTTGTATGCACACCTATATTTCCGTCGTTCAACCTGCGGGCGGAACAAAGAAAATATAATGGATTCCTCCATCCACGCTGAACATTGCTCCCACGGTGCGCTTTGTATTTTGAAAAAGGCTGCCGGCTGAAGTTCGCTCCATGTGTGCCCTACTTAAAGTGATGTTAAAGGATATTCCCTCCTCCCAATGCTAGTGTAAGGACTTACCTTAAATGATGCCTCTTGATCCAATCATCTTGTAGTTTTCAGGAGTCCCCCCAGCACCGTTACCGATCTCTGATCAAGCGCTGACTCCGCTCTCTTCCTGGCACTTCCTGTCCCACGGAGTCTGTGCGGGTGCCAGACTTACTTGCCAAACCGATCCCCTCCAGCGATGCACTTTTCCTTCACCAATGCTTCCATCTTCTCCCTGGGCTTTTTCCAGGCTTCAGGTGTTCAGACGATTGATAGGCCATTCCTCCATGACATGGCTCCTGTGCATGCCGGGTCTGTGCACTGTGCTGTGCATGCGCAGTTCAGCGCACAGGGAAAAAAATTACTGAATGGTAGAAAGACGTTTTTCTGGCAGAAGAGACTTACGCAGTTTCTTCTGCCATAGAAAACCTACCGATCGGCAGGTTTGGTTTACTATTTTTTTTTTAAACCCTTACCTTCTTTAAACCCTTTTTGCTCTATCCGAAACCTTCATTTTATGCTATGTAAAAAAGCATTTATTTAGAAAGGACTTGCTGTGAGCCACCTAAATTGCTTTCCACTTTATAGAATGCTGTAGCATGGCTGTAACCTCACCTTCACCTCCCTTCAAAAATCAGCAAATCGTTCATTGCACTGTTTGGATTGATGCAAGGCGCTTGAATGTAATTGTGTGGTTAGTAAGATTATAGATTGTACATTTGCCAGCTGCTGTACCTCACCTCACCTGCAGACATCCGCCTGTTTTGAACGTCTATATTAGCTTTGCAGTGCTGTTGAACAAAAGGTAAGTGATGCATTTACCTAGAAGTCCTTTCTCTGTTGGAGCAGCTGATTTAGATGTGAGTTTTTTTTCCGTAACGCATTTATTAAGTTTAACGATGTCAGACAAGGAAATAACATAAAGACACAATGAATGCAGATTACACAACATGTTAAAATACATAAAACATAACTAGACATTTCCTATAACAAATTCAGAACCAAAAGCAGTGTCTATAAGGGCTATAAGACTAAAGTACCAAAAAAAAACAGGTTCTACATGTTGTAATGGGAAATATAGCAGCCGGGAAGTCTGAGCACACGTAGCAAAGAAACCCACTCCCCATGTGGGTGCGTAATACTGGATAAAGGGTGTCCAAGAGGCTCCCACAACTGACTAAAAGGAGCTGATCAGTAACATACTGAAACTTCTATTGACATAATAGGGCTGCGGTCTCGATGTGAGTTTTATTGGAAGAGTTCTTACAGTCTTAATCCGTAATCTCCCACCATCTATTAGAAGTCTAGGCTCGTACCTATTTATAAAAAAAACCTGTACTATGTGTGGTAAATATGTAGGTTGCCATTAGGGCTATAGGGCTAGGGCTGATTCAATTCATGAGAATCTATAATGAGAATCGTTGAGTATCGATTAGTTCAGGGGTAGCCAAACTCCTGCCCTCCAGCTGTGGTGGAACTACAAATCCCATGAGGCATTGCAAGATTCTCACAGCCACAGACATGACTCCCTGAGAGAGATGCATCATGGGATTTGTAGTTTCACCACAGCTGGAGGGCCGGAGTTTGGCTACCCCTGGATTAGTTGATTCTGCGATTAGGTGGTGCTGGCAGGGCCACCCATGGATTGGGTGGAAATGGACAAAATTCAATGCGTGTATGACCAGCTCAAGTATTGAGCCTAATGAATCAGCATGGCAGCCAGACAACTTGCATTTCTGTAAGTTAGTAATGGTAGCTTCCATTTTTTTTTTTCAGTCCATGTTCCCTTTTAAGTAAGTGATTTGTTTTCATATTTGTGTACAAAATATTTGTTTCTCCTTTCAGAAAGCAAGTGAGTTCCTAAAATGGTATTAAACTCTGAAACGTTTTTCAATAATCAGTCCAGATCAAGCAAATATACATTGCCTGAGAACTTAAAGTGACATTAAAGTCAAAAATGTTTTCCTCCCCCCAATGTTAATTAAAGCACTTACCTTAAATGATGTCTCTTAATCCGATCTTCTTCTTCTTTCCTGTCCTTTTCAGCCTTCTCTCCAGCGCTGTGGCGTGTCTCCAATCCAGCGCTGACTCCTCTGTACTTGCAGGCACTTCTGATCCCACAGCGTCTGCATGCGGGTACAAGCGTCCATAGACTTACCTTGCGTCTCTCCTCGTCTCCCAGCCGAAAATCCGAACTGCGCATGCGCCCGCCCCAAGATGCTTTGCTGCCGCCCGTGCAGTTTTGGATTCTCGTACGGGAGCGCGCGCGCGAAGACAGGGGTTTAGTTTAAACCGCTGTTAAAGCGTTTTTTTGGTTTTTTTTACTTTTTGCATATATCTACTGCTTGCTATCAGTAGATACATGCAAAACAACATGAGGGTTTAAAAAACCTTTATCAGTTGTCATGTTTCCAAACAGCTGGGTCCAACTCTCTCAGCTCCACTTTCCTGAACTTCCTGTCCAGTGCAAGATCAGCTGTCCATCTACTAGCCTGGAGGAACAGAGAGCAGGGGAGTGACTTGACTTACAGTGTCTGTGTGTTTGTGGAGACATACACAGCATACTAGCACACACAAGGGTGGCTCCATAGGACTCAGCATGGCAAAGGAGCCACCCTGAAACAGTATATCGGGACCAGCTGATTCTGCAGGAAACTAAAACGTTTAAACATCAAGGCACATCATCCATTGTAAGTGATTTAATCAGCATTTGAAATGACTTAAAACACTTTTGACTTTAATTTCACTTAGCTTTCTGTGCTCTCTGCTGCACTTAAACAGCATTATCAGCCTTAACTAGTTCTCGTCTGTGGGCTACTTAACACCTCCCCTCTTCGTTAAGGAGTTGAGGAAAGGGGGCATGTGTTGCAAGTAAACCCCCCCCCCCCCCCCTTCCTGACTGCACCCAGACACTTCAGTTGGCTATTGGGCTGCCTACACGGCTTATTAGATTGCCAGCCTAATGGCTAATATAAGGAGCTCTCCCAGTAGGTTGACGACACTGCTTCTGATTTCCAGGCAGTATCTAAAGCTGGGTACACACTGTTAGATTTTTTCTGTTGAGCTTTTGGGCTAAACAAATAAAATCCAACAGATTCCTCTGTTGGTGCTAAACAGCATAAATGAAGGTATTGCCTACTGCGGCTATTGTATTCTGACAAGCCGTCCCGCTGGTGCATTAATACCCGAATAGGGCCACCCATTGCTCACCCAAAATGAGCCCAGATTCGCTCAGTGTATATCCAGCTTCAGTGTTGTCAGCCTGCAGTAGGAAATGCTGTTACTGGCAAGATCTCCAGGTAAGAAACTTAGCAACAGATTCACAAAAAGCTACGGGTAGGAAAACTGTATATAGTAAGGCATGGTGCCAAACATGCTGAAAAATAGATTTATGATTTGCATACACTATTGTGAGCTGAGAGTTTTAAATCATTGAAGAGCCTCCCTCTGTGAAGAGGAATATAACATTTTCACAGAAAAACTCTTTAAATCATGTGTTCCGATAGGCAGCCTTCCTCGTGCAAAAGTTGGAGCAGCTTTTGAAAGTTGTTCATTTATTTGTAGCAAGGAGCAGAATTTCAGATGCAGTAGAACTTCTCTCAATGGGGTTCCTTTTCTCTCCCTTTTCAGATGGCGACGTTCTTCAGCAATAACTTAGACTACTTCATGTCTTCGTTGAGTTACGGACCAAAAGGAGGCCAAGGATTCACCAATCCCCTTTCCGCTGCGATGATGCTTCAGTACAAGCAGAAGGCCGCCCAGTACATGAAAGCTCTGAAGACGGTTTGTATACAGACTAAAACTTCTGCCACTGTAGTCTTTAACCTGCATCTTTTCCTGATTAGAGAACAAAAATTGTCTCTTCAAATGCAGACATCTCCGGCGCGAGCAGTGAGACGGCCCAGCTCTGCTCATTAAATATTTAGATGCGGAGCGGAGAAGATACTGCTGACAAGTCTGGTCCTGCAGCATTAATTTGTTTTCGTGCCAGCGGAACGTCTGCTGCAGGACATTTCCCAGCATTGTGATATTTAGGGTTTGCATTATAAATAGGCACAATCTGCCCAGGGCATCGCTCCTACCTGGATTTCTCACAGCCATTAATTGTGGAAATGAGCGCCAATTTTTATTTTTAGAACAAGTGAATTTACCGCTGAGAGGATGAGAAAATGTGACCCAGAGATGTGTCTCAGCGCTCTGTGATAAAAGCTAATTGCAGAGGAAGGAGGTGCAGTATTAAGGAACTTGTTGTTTTTGTCAAGCTTTGCTGGAAGGTTTTTCAAGGATAAAGGCTGTAGGCTTTGATAATTCGACGTATCTTGACCAGTCATAGATCTATTCCCTAAAGAGACGAGGCTTTCCATGTCAGGAAATAGATCTACATCTGTCATTGGGGAATAAGTGCATATAAAATAACAAGTATACCTGGTTAACCATGCCCAGAATCTTGCATCCTTTAACCAGTTGACATCCGCAGAGTTAAACCCCCTTCCCATCCAGGCCATTTTTCAGTATTCAGTGCTGATATTTTCTATATAGTCCAATACATCATTTAGATAGGTGAGACCAGGAGTGTATATAGGCAGACGCATTGGAATGACCAGAATGGAGAGAAGGGTAGCCAAAATTAAAACATATAGCTAGATTATGGGTGTTCCCTCGTGGACATTTCTGTCTCTGTAGATGGGTTTCCTGCACGACTGCCAGAAAACTTGAAGCTGCAGCAGATTTGAGGATCTTCTTACATCTCTCAGGGGACAGTGAGAGCGATAAGAAGGGGAAAGGTTATATTTGCAATCTTGCTTGCTTCGTCTGTGTATACCAAAGTAGTTAGTGTACTTATTCTTAAAATAGGTTGGTTAGGATTCTTTCTCTGCCCATCTCCGAATTGCAAGTGGTGGGGTTTTTTTCTGCATGTTTCTAATAAAATGCCCCAAGGGACTGTGTCAACTGGCTTTTTTCCCCTGCCATAATTGGGTTCTGCATTCCCATTTAAGTCTATGAAAATGCAAAACTTACTTGAAGCAGGTTAGGAAGAGGTCCACTGCAGGTCAAATGTTCCGGTCAATGGATTTTGAATGATCTCAGAAGTTTCTTAAACGGACAACATTGACACCCATTGAAACAGTCCCTAAAGTCTGACACCATTACATGGCTCAGTACATCCAGGCACATAGCACTGAACACTGCAGCAATCAAACACTTTGCTAAGTTGAAGGCAAGCTACTTTGCTTGGGGGAGAGGTATATCACTGACATCGAAGTATACAAGCCTCCAAATGCTGTTGGATCATGAGGATACACTCTTTTTAGCATAGCATACAACAGCTCTGCTCAAGTGTGCTAAATTAAACCTCACCTGGTCTACAACATTTCCAAGTTAACAGTGCTGTAGTTTAGGCATAATGTCACACTTGCAGATACTTGTGTTTTAATATATTTAGGTTGTGGAACCCCTTGGATCCAAGGCTTTGCCTCTACCACCTAATGAAGTCTTGGTGTTTGGCAGGTGAATGACAGGGGGTGGAGCTTAGTTGCAGGGGTGGGGTTTTGTCATCTGCATTGCAGCCAGACTGCTAGCTTTATTCAAAAGGAAGTAATCAGTGGCAGGCCATGTATTTCCTTCTTTATTTATTAACATAGAAGGTCTTTGCATGTAACAGTTTTTCCTGTTTCTGCAGGCTCCCTTCACATTCATTATGTTAGTATTAAGGAACTGTATCATATTGATTCCCTGGGAGCCCGCTGATGTGACCGATGTTGTAATCTCATCTCTTGCTGCTGATTTGCTTGCTTTATACTGCGTATCATTTTCCAGACTGTAGTGTGACCGACTTGATAACCTGTTCATAGCCATGTGTCAGTATTTAGCAAAGGATAACAAGAAAATGCCATTGGTACTGATTCATTGACGCATTTGTAACTCTTTCTGGTGTTATAACTGTATTGGAAAGTCCAGCACCAAATTCATGAAAGCAGTGTGACAGTTGTCTTGCTTTTTCCGATACGTGTGTCAAATTCAGGTTCTTATGTGCAACACTTTTATATTACCGTGATGTGGCTGCGACAAATTCATTAAGAAATACCTCCATATAGGTAATGAGGAAAGTGGAGGTAAATAAGACCTGCTCCATGTTGGAGTAAATTGTGTAAGTATTAGGTTAGTGGGAAGCAATTCTGCAACAGATTCCAATACACCTTACTGACTGACAAATAAAGCTGTTGCAAGTTGCGTCATTTGTTGCATGGTCCGGAGACAGATTTCTAATGATGCTCTTTATGAATTCTTGGAAAATATCAGAGTATTTACTATGCTGCGTGAATTATTTAAACTGCGTTTTTTATTTGATCATTTTCGCATCCAAATGTTCCGTTTACAAAAACTTTTTTTTTTTTTGCGTGAATGAATATTAGACAATTGATAGCGTCTCTTTCTCATAAATCTCACAGAAACTTGCGATTTTTGCCAAGCAGAAACTAGTGTGAATTTAAGAATAATCAGCCTTTATTGTAATCTTGTTAATTGATTCTTTCACACATTTTTTCTTTTGCATACAAATCTTTTATTTGGCAATAAAGATTTGTCCTGTGTGTATAAAGTTAGGAAATAGTCCAAAAAGAATTGTTTTGCAAAATCAACAAATTGCTTGTGCACGTCCGAAAGGAAATTCTCAATAGACCGAAGAAATGTCAAAATTATTTTTATTTTTTTCTCGTGTTTGAAACTAATGTCATCAACACAAGCACTAAATCTCCCAAGCAGGTACACGGTCATTAATAAAAACCTAATAGGGATTCTAAAGCTGCCCGTACCCTGCTCAAATTTTATCAGTTTCCTGCTAAATCTACCAACACTTGATCCATGGGTGACACTACTGACGCCACTCGACTTGACAAAAGTTGATTTTCTATCGACTTTTGTCAAAGGAGCAGTGTGGGAGATTGTTGGCCAAAGCTGATTGGCTGTAGCAACTGTTCAGGTATTTTGACAGCTGTGAACACTGACTGGCTCAATGCAACATTCATCAGGGAATAACTTTAGCAAGGATGGGTGAATCACGTATAACATTTAATGTGTATAGCTAGTCTAACGCATGGTTATACTTCGCAACATCAACTAAAAGAAATGTTTTGACATAAACCGTTTGAAAAAGCAAGAAATACTTCACCTGATATTCCTATTGATGATGCAAAATATTGCCTTTTGTAAATTACTATATATACTGTGCGTGTATGTGTATGTATGTATATATATGTGTGTGTATATTTATTAGTACAAGACAGCAAAGCACATAATGTACGCAATAAAAGTTTGTGGATTGGCTCTGTAGTTTGCTAGTAAATGTACGTTTGAGTTGTTCTTTGTGCATTTTTGTGCCTTGTCACTTCCTCTTTTTATGTCCTCTGTCCAACCTCTTTGTCTTCTCCATCCTCAGTGTCACACCTGATCCCTCAACTCATTTTCTTTGTCATCTCCTTATTGCTCTTTCCTTGCAGTGATTTTCCCCGTTGGCTACTTTTGAGTTATAGTCGGTATTATTATGTAAAGTAAGAGTACTAGGAGGGCTAATTATGTCTATACTTCCAATTAACTTGGCAATAAATAAATTTTGTTGTCTTGAAATTTTGTCACCATCCAGATGCCTCGCACTTTTCTCCCCTCCCATTTTGCAGTAGCTGAGATATTATGCGGGGATCGGAAGCCGCAACACCTTATGAAAGCATAGATTAACCCACCATAATGTAATTGGCTGTTACTTTTCATCTAGGCTTCGCTGATTTTTATTCTGCACTTGTGTGAAAAAGTAAATGATTAATAACAAAGAAGTTGATAAAATGTCAGTTGTTTGTCTAATGGGTGCGAGAATATTTTCTGATATCTCTTACAAGTTTTTGAATTTGCATTGCAGCCATCGTTAGAGATTTTTTTATGACCTCAAGATGGGTCCCTTTAGAAGCATCCGATCCTTTAATCGCCTTCTTGCAAGTTACAGAATGTTCAAGCGTTCTTGATTTTCCTAACAACCCCTTTCTATAGAAACATTTGGCTTGACAGATCGGACGAGAGTCTGGCCTGCTGAATATATGTCAAGGCACCTTCCTATATAACTATTCCCTCTGCTACAGCTAGGGAAATTTATTGTGCTAAAGTGGAACCTCATCATGAACTCCACTCACCTCATTCTTGGATCACTGCAGAGAGACCCCTTTCTATAGAAACAGTTAGCTGGACAGTTCGCCTGAGAGTCCGGCCTGATGAATCCATGTCTGGACACCTTCCTATAGAACCAAACTGTTGCAGTGGAACCTCATCATGAACTCCTCTCACTTCATTCTTGAAACACTGCAGAGAGACCCCTTTCTATAGAAACAGTTAGCTGGACAGTTCGCCTGAGAGTCTGGCCTGATGAATCCATGTCTGGACACCTTCCTATATAACCATTCTCTCTGCTACAACTAGGGTAATTTAATGTGTTGAGGTGGAACCTCATCATGAACTTAACTCGCCTCATTCTTGGATCACTGCAGAGAGACCCCTTTCTATAGAAACAGTTAGCTGGACAGTACGGCTGAGAGTCTGGCCTGCTGAACCCATGTCTGGACACTTTGCTATATAACTGGTCTGTCTGCTACAGCTAGTGTAACGTAATGTGTTGAAGTGGAACCTGAGCATGAACCCCTCTCGCCTCTTATTTTCCCATAAAAAGAGTGGAACGCTGCTTGTTTTGCAGTGAAATCACTACAGCATTGTTGGATCACTACAGATAACTTTTTTATACAAATAGTTGGCTGAGATTTGGGCCTGCTGAATCAGTCAGGACTAGGGCTGCAACAACTAATCGACATAATTGATTATAATCGATTATAACCCTCCTATATAACCAATATCTCTGCTACAGCTAGAGTAACATAATGCATTGAAGTGAACTTCATCATGAACCCTTCTCAACTCATTGTTGGATCTCTGCAGAGAGACCCCTTTCTATAAAAACAATTGGCTGGACAGTTTGGCTGGGAGTCTGGCCTGCTGAATTCAAGTCAGGAGACCTTCCTGTATAACTGGTCCCTCTGCTACAGCTAGGGTAATGTAATATGTTGAAGTGGAACTTCATCATGAGCCCCTCTCGCCTCTTCTTACTCATGAAAAGTGTAGAACGCTGCTTGCTGTGCAGTGCAAATTATTGGATTGCTGCAGGGAGACTTCGGCTCTCACCCTGAGCACAACAGTCCTTGTCTGCAGTATGCTGGCAGGGGACAGAGTTTTACAATCTGTAATACTGTCCACAACTTTTGATAGAGGTTTTTTTTTATTTTTAGCAAATTTTAAAGTGTATATAAATCCTAAAACTCATATCTGTCATATATTGCAGATTACCAGGCCTTAGATGTGTTGGCTGCATTTGTTTTTTCTAAGCTTTGTATACTTTTATTTTCACCTGGTGATTCTACCAGTAACATCTCTTCCGTCTAGGAGGACAGCACTTACTCACCCCTCTGTATTAGGACAACAGAACAAGCTCGGGCTAAGGAAACCCTACCCCTCTCCTATTCTCCATAACATTCAGGTTGTGGTTCTGTAGTCCTTAGAAAATGCTGATGACCAATGTAACTTATAGGAGTCAACAGAGGCATAGAGTACAGGACGTTATCAGCTCACAGGATTGGCAGGTTTTGGGGTTGTTTTTTTTTTAGCTTATCAAACAAAAAGCTTTCAATGGTATATTTACCAGACCTAAAGGGGACAAATATGAGACGTTCATTGTGAGGGTTTACACTTTAAGTTTAATTAGGCTTTAAGGGCTTTTGAAGAAGAATGCTTAGCGTGTTATATGTCTGGCCATGGGCATCTTTTACCTGATAGTCTCTTATTATTGACTGTTGAACTATTCTGTCTTACAGCCCTGCCCTGACTCTGTGCCTTATGAGGAGGCACTGGTAAATCGCAGAGTGCTACTGAGCTCCACGGAGAGCAGAGAAGGTCTGGCCCAGCAGGTACGACGTCTGGATGTGATTATTTTAGCATCACTACCCTGAAAATAAATGTGTGTTCATGGGCATACGTTGTGGATGCTTTTAGGTTACTTTGCCATAAATAGGCAAAGTAGCAGATTGTCTTTAACTTTTTTAAGTGTTTCTGACATTAAAACTGATTTGAAACAACACGAGAAAGGAAAAAGAAAATGTGTTGCCCATAGCAAGGGGTTTACTGCAGCAATAGAAGCAAACTCATTGATTATGTGGCATTCAGAGGACTTATGTCTCTGTGTAAACAGGTTCAGCAAAGTCTGGAGAAGATCTGTAAGTTGGAACAGGAGAAGGAGCATTGGATGCTGGAAGCTCAGCTGGCCAAGATCAAGCTGGAGAAAGAGACTCGGAGGATAACTGAACTAATGAAGAACCCAGGCAAGGGGCAAGAGGGGGACCAGCAACAGGAAAATGCCCTGTTACACACAAAGGACAATTCAACTGAAATTAGGACTACCAGCTTGGTAAGATATATATTAATTTCCCAACAAGGTATTTAGTACATTGTCATTCGACACTATTGGGGCTACCCGTATGGGGGCATTAATTAAAGAGGTTGGGATGCATCCTGCACCACAACAAACAGAGCTCCAGTAATGTCAGAAGTAATGTGACTGCTAAGGTCAATGGTTTTAACAGTCAGTCAAAAATTAACAGATATCCTTCCAAGTTGCCATACCGTATCTTGCACTGATGAAAGCCAACGGACTGAAGACTGTATTATACTCCTATATGCTGGCTGTGTTGAAGTCTTTTATTGATATAGCGGAGAAGGTGACAGGTCTCTAATTGCTGTCATTGTCCACATTTGTAGTTTTCTCTCCCCTTACTTGGGCTTTTCAAATGTTTCCTGTTGTTATAAAATCTCTCTTAACAAAGCCACAATTATCTGTGTCAAGTTGTAAAGTCGGCTGTGTGGACATGCCATACTTTCACTAGAACTGACACTTCACCCTGGCTCTAATGTTAATCTATTCTTATTTCTATATTTTTCTTTAGTAGACTTCTATTGATTTTGTTTTATTTTTCTATTGTACTGCTTGGTTGTTCTCTTCTATAATAGTTGCCTCCTAATCCTTGGCTCTCTATCTCCAGTCTACTATTTATAATATTACCCATATCATGGTAATGATGATGCTATTAATTTGAAATGAAAGCAGATCCCTGATCAGATTGTGTATTTATTTTCCTTAGTTTTAGATTGATTATGGCACATTATTATTGCTTTCTCTGCTCCATCGATTGTATTTCAGGGCATAGTATGGGGTACCACATCCTAATAATTCCAAACGGTTCCAAAATACATTATATGGACTTTTTTTAGGTACCCACATTCATGCATATTCATCACACTTCATAGATGAACCAAATAGGTTTGGTTGGAATGCACGCATTTCATGCAAATTATTCCGCTTTCTCAGGAGTATTTGGCACAGTATATGTGTAGATACATGAGCCATTTTTTTGTCTGTTAAATCCAGATGGGTGAGATCTGGTCCACCAAAGAAGGTCCACCACACAGCCAAAGATATCTTATATGAGACAAAAGTACAGATGTCTTGTTGTTCTGCCATCATTTGATATGGACTGGAGCATGGGAATCTTTGTTGGTAATATATTGGAGTGGTGTGATGGGAAAGAGCCCACCTCCTTTCATACCAGATGGCGTGGTGGCCAAAACACATCAATGCGGTTACCTAAAAAGTCTGCTATATGTATTTGGAAACTGCTTAATGTGCCCCGTTATGTTGGTGACTGAGGTAGATCTCTCCACTAGGGTAGGAACATCTGTCAGTTTCTCCATGTCACTTCCTGTTACATGACAGTGGTCAAGGGAACAGGAAATCTTCCCCCATAAAACATAAAATCCTGGAAGACATTTTATTTCTTCTTTAGTTAAAACTAGAAAGTTTTTGGTTGTTGTTGCACTTAAAGGTATCTAACATATATTTTGAATGTGTTCATGTCACTATATATGTTTTTCATTTATTTTCTTCTTGTTTTCTGTACAGATCGGCATGTTAATGGAAAGTAATGAAATCCAGCAGGTACAGTATACTGTATTCTTCTATGTACTATAAAGAACTCTCCACTGCAGTCCAGGAATACGCAAGGGTGTACAAAAGTTGTCTACTTGACAGAAGAATATCTAGAAGTGCTTTTTTTGCTGCTGTTGGGGTGGTAATAGGATAGAAAAATACACTGATACATTTTTGGTTTCTATGTTCTATTATTTTATAAGTTTCAAAATCCAGCATTGAACAAAGAAGTGAATCACTTCTACATGAGAAGAACATGTAAAACCAAGTCAATCAGTAAACAGACATGTATATACCATGTATTTGTCTGCATAAGCCTCATGCACATGGCCTCATGAGGGCGTAGAAAGTAAATTGCAGGTTTATTTCCATGCCTGGGATACACAGCTGCACCGCAAAGTCACATCCTGTGGTTGTACTCTTGTGCGCATGCACGGCTTTACGCAAGTGGTGTATATCCTCGTATAGCCGCCTACACCCATTTATTAGTATGGGCGGCTGTATGCCACAGTTGTTGTATCCTGGGTGTGAAGATACAATGTTATTCTAATTAAAGCTTCAAAAACAATTAAAAAGATTGACAAAATCTTCTGAAATGACATTAACATGTTAAAGCTGATATGAGAATGTAGTGATTGTGTTTACACCTACTTTAATAAGCTAAAATCTGATTGCAAAGGTTTATTGGATACGTTGCATATTATCAGTACCCTATGCACTGCTCCATTGAATAAGACATCTGATAGAATACAGTCACACTGTCGTTCCTTTCAGTGCTGCAGTCACTCAGATTCAGATAAGAGAATGACTGACAGTTGAGATGTCGATCAGCACTTTTTAGATTGGTTGGCCATTCTAATAGTAATTCCCTCTCTGTCATGAACAGGTCACAGATCAGGACTCCAGGGAAACTCTGATAAAAAAACACTACATGACAAGAATAGCAGAAATCACGACACAGCTGCAGCTGGCTGACAGCAAGTCTGTCCATTTCCATGCAGAGGTATGTATGCAATCAGCAGGTGTTGTGGACCTTTGCTTTTTAGTGACATAACTTCTTTGGAGAAATGAAATGTGCATGTGCATTTTTGTATCATGTCACATACACATTGGTGTGATGCAATGCCGGTCATTCTAAATGGCACCCAATGCACCTTTGCGGCACACCTGTGTTGCAACGTGCTAACACACTACTGAAAATGCTGCAAGAGTGAATATTTGTCCACTGTGGTGCATTAGGCAACCCATTCTAATAAACACACCACTGCAGATAGGGCTGGTCTGAATGGGTCCTTAATACTTACCTCTCTGGAGGGTGATGAGTCCTCACTATGCTCTCTTCAAGAGCTATGGCCTGCAGAAGAATTTTCACACGGACATGCTTCTAGGTGTGCCAAGTGCCTGGGCCCCAGCAATGGTTCATCTCAACAACCCCACTATGTAGTGATATGGGGGACTACAGTGTGCAGTGGATGCAACATCTGTCACACCTGGAAGTGTCAGATGCTGAAGAGACACCCACAGACATCACATTGATAATGGTTAGATTGTGCAGCTGTCATCTCCTCTAACCCTGCATTTCCTGATTGTCTGCTAATTGTTTAAAGGTGGCTGAACACTTCCTAATATTTTGTCCGAGCCCTGGTGAAATTCAAGCAGTGTGTGGCCCTGTTGGCACTGGTCCGATTTTTCAGTGTCGAAGGAGTCTGTGCGAAAATTCTCACATGAACAGTGACTGCAGCCAGTTAGCTGCAGTCACTATTGGGCATTCTGACAGCAGCATGCCTGTCACTATCAGAATTGCTATCAGAATAGAATAGCCCTGCGGGAGGGGGAGAATCTGGTGGTGGTGGTTGGGGGTATTCCCTTAATAACGCTGTTTATTGTGGTTGGAGGAATCATGCGTTTTTGGTTTTTTTAAAGAAAATTGCATAGTGCATGGCCATCTTAAGGTATTGCTGTTAGTGGTAACATCTTTACATTTCCCTGCTTTATTTACAGTGTCGAGCTCTTGCTAAGAGATTAGCATTAGCAGAGAAATCCAATCAGAGCTTAACAGAAGAAACAAAGTCAGCCAGTCAGAGCATCAGCAGATTACAGGTAAGAGCCGCCAGTACCCATACACCCAGCTAGTCACGGCTCCCTGTAAAATGTGACCCCTGTTGGATCTCACAGGACGCCGAATGCTGATAATATTGTGTTAAGCTAGCTCTCGGGAGTATGTTAACTGATTTCACAACAAGATGGCAACTAATAAAGACTGTTTTTATCTGGATCCATTCCTCATTTACTCTATCAGATGGATGTTTACATTGTCAGAAGCTGCATCTTGTTCTCGCTCTACATCCATCGTATTGTCATGTCGTATGGAGAAGAGAAAGCCATTGATTATTTATTGTATCATTAAAGCATGTGAAGCAGTTTTTCCTCAGCAGTATAACTCGCCTGCAAGAGAGAATTATTGAACAAAGAGCAGATCTCACATAAGTGAATTATGATTGAACCATTTTGCGGCATTTTATTTTTCTGCAAGCCTCCGCAGTGTCCTGAAAGCTTGGCTTCTGCTGGTTTTCTACTAAAGCACAGGTACAAGGAATTTCATTTTGCAGTTTGGGAGAAAAATACGTGTTCCAGTGGAGCAGAAAGTAGATTTTGGAAAGAGATGTTTTTGTTTTAATTATTGTGAAGTTTTTAGTGTAGTATGGGAAGTTAATGAGGCCATCCTCTGTACCAGTTATGCCATCCTATCCATTTACTTTGTATCTGGTTCCCACCCTCTATTAAAGGGACATGTCAGGACAGAAGTCATTTAGCTGGCATTACATGCTTTTTTTTTTTTTGAAGGAGCAAGCTTGGTGGAGCAGCATGGTATACCCACTTCATGTCCAGACAATTTGTCTGTTGTCAATGCTGTGATAGTTTGACAATTTACTCAGTGGTGTTAAAGGCACCTGGTATTTTAGACCAGGTCAACTGAAAGTGACCTGGTCTAATATATTTCTGCAGGCACCTTGTTTACCCTCTGTATTTATCTTTAAGTTGGTCTCAGTGGAACTGACCCCAATGTGGCCCCAACTTCTGCTCAAGTCAAGATTTCATATTTGGCTCTCCTACTGCTGAGTCCAACCACCAGACTCTTCTACTGCTTACTAAAGTTGGGGGAAAAAAGGAAAATCTTGCCGACAGCATTAACAATCTGATAGACATATACTCTAACCTTTCCAACTCAATTCAAAACGAAGCAGAAGTTTGGGGTGGAACTGGGCTTTAAAAAAAAATCAATAAAACATAAAAAAGTAACTGTAAAGTGTCTTTCATACTAAAAAGGTGCCTCATTATGGATAGAGTGGGAAGGATTAGACCTCCACCTGCAGTTTTACTGATATCCGGGGGGTATGTTCTGGGCTATATGAGATATCTGGAGATTTTGCCTTACTTTCTTTCTTGCTAACAACAGTTTCACCAGACAGGAAGTGAGGGGAACTCTGCAACAAGGAAACATAGTAATACACATCTGACAGAGGTCTAGCCTTCTGCTACTCTACTAAAGAAAAGCATTTTTAATTCTGTCTGTGTTGCACTTAAGAGTTCCCCTGACTTCCTGTATGGTCAAACCTTGCCAGCAGGACAGGAAGTGAGGATAAAACCTTCTAATGGAGTCCGGAGTAGTAGTAGTAAGATTCTGACGGCTGTTCTAACCCTTCCACACTCTCCCCAAAACTAAGAAAACGTTTGGTGTTGCAAACATCTTCTTCACACTCATACCTTCCCTTTTAGATTAACCTATTAGAAATCTGACTTTTGCCGTAGGTTTAAAAAACGAATCTCTTTTGAGCTCAATCATGTAACTTACAGATGGCTTGGTCCCTGGTTAAGAGGTGGATTGTGGGTGTTCACAGTGGTAGGCAACCTTGACACTACAGCTGCGGTAGAACTACAAATCCCATGAGGCAATGCAAGACTTTGACAGGCACAGACATGACTCTCAGGGGCAGCAGCATGATGGATTTGTAGTTTCACCATAGCCGGAGTGCCAAGGTTGCCTACTCCTAATATAGAGTCTCTTGTTTTCAATTAGGCAGACCAATGATCAGAGAGATAAGAGCTGGAAGCAGAGCCCATTGGTGTAACAAGCAAATATGACTGCCTCCAGATATACATTTACAGGCTTATAGGATGAACAGACTTTGATAACCTTATTTTTCTATATCTGAATAATAAAAGTATGAAAAAGGCTCTTTTAAAGTAGAATAAGAAATTAGCAGAAATATGATATGGGGGATATATCTCCTGTGGTAGGATAGAATGGCCTGTTTCCCCTTGAAGGCTCTAATGATTCTTTAGCTTAGTGCCAGATAAGGTCTTTTTTTGTAGCAGCCATTTTTGATCTCATGCTAATTCTCCAGTCACGTAAAAAAGAATATTGGACATCTCCGCTGATTTTCCTCCTTGGTTCACACATCAGGCGCAGTCACTTTAAAGAAATGCCTTTTAAATAGCATTTCATTTTTCCTCTGTGTACTAATGTCTTTTATCCCATTCTCCCCTCTTGTTATCGCCTCTCATTCCCTGAGCTCTCCATTCCTTGATGACCTTTATGTTGAAGAATACAGATTGCCATCAGCGCTGCTTCAGTCTCCTATGTTGGACATGAATAATGTAGTCTGCCATTTGTGTGCACTGTCAGGAAGATACATGGACATTTTAATAAGAGAACTGAGAGCAGACACATACACTTTATTTGGTATCCCATCCGTTTGCCTTTTTTTATTTTTTTATTTGATGATTTGATTCTAAGAATGTGTAATGTCTAAGTTTAAATTTAAAAAATGGCACAGTAGAGCCCCAATACTTTTTAGGTAACCCAAAGGAGTCTACATGCATACATTTGGGTTACTGCTAGCTGCACAGGCTGCATATAGGGGTTTCCTGGCACTGCATAAGCTGCATAAAAGGGTTTTTTGGCATTGCATAAGTTGCATAAAAGCAGGCACACACAACAAAAGGGTTTCCTGGCACTGCATAAAAGCAGGCAGACACGCACAACATTTTTGTGGCGAAAAAGGAAGTATGTCATCTCTTTTGCCATTTTTAATAAAGAAGAATTGGCAATCTAAAAAAAACCATTGGTGAATCCCTCAGGGGACCCAGTGCATGTAGCACTCACTCTTGTTTATATCTGTGCCTTCATTTAGGAAGACAAATCACATTGTTATCACTGTCAGTGCTGATTGTAGCTCCACTCCTGGCTGAAGCTCAGAATATGGGTGTTCCCTTGGGGCAGGTACATCCCCACCCCCTCTCCTCTGTGTGTGTGCGTGTGTTCATATTCAAAGAAATGTGCCTATGTTCAGGTAGTCCAGAACAGTAGTATTGTTCTGGATTATCTGATTGCAGGCACATTACTCAATGCTTGTCATCAGGTAATCCACATAGAAGTGACGCGCAGATTAGTCCACTGTACTTGTGTAGTGTACTGTGTTATGTACTGTACAGAAACCGATCTTGTTCTTGTACACAAGCCTTCTCCTGCAGAATCATTATCTGATCTGCCAGCAGCCTTAGGGGTCGCTGTGCCTTCGTTTTCAGTGGCTCTATCTAAAATATAATTCACAAATCCTTGCAGAATAATATTGTCCCTGAGAAATTGCAGGCAGCTGAGACGCCGCGGTATACCGCAAGCTACTGCTCGCGGTATACTGAGACGCCGTGTTCGCTCACCTCCCGATCTACTGAGTCGACCGGTGACAGTCTCATTGTCACAGGTCGGCTAGAACTATGAGGTGAGTGAAAAGCACTCACCTCATAGTTCTCCTTTAAGGATATTGTGCTTCCATCCCTCTGTCCATCCCCAGTACATCAGGAGGAGATTTCCTTTCATTGTCTGGATGTTGTTCAAGCTGTACATGTCTACCTTGCAGCCACAGTCTCTATTCGAAATACGGACTCCCTTTTTGCCATAAAGGGGAACCAGCTTCGTGTTCCACTATTTCTCTGTGGCTTAGACAAATCATCATTCAATCTTATAGTCTTAAGGGTCGGGTTCCACATTTTCCTGTGAAGGCACACTCTAATAGATCTGTGAGTGCTTCCTTGGCTTTTTGTAATCTGACAACTGTTTCCCAGATTTGCAATTCTATTTTATAGTCTCTTAAAGTTTTACCAGATAGAGGTTCAAGACTCTTCTGATGCTAGCTTTGGGCATAAGGTCCTTCAGGCTGCTCTTTGAGCTGCAGGCAATCCCCAGTTTTTTATAGTTGGGCTTGTTAGCGTTTTGTTTGCTGTGTTGGACTTTTGGACAACCCCAAATGTCACTAAATATTCTCTTCCTTAAATGTGATTTTTATATTCGCCTTAAAGGGACAGGGATCCCTCACCTCTGTGTTTTATGGTCTTGACCTTGGTACTGCTTTGTTACAAAACTGATGCATGTTGGTAGTTTGTGGGGTTATACCAGGCTGGGAAATGTTTTTGTTTTGTTTGCCAGCATCCTAATACTCATGTAAGTAGCAGTATAACCTAAATATCACGAAATCCTGTGTCCAACACTGAAATCAACGAAAACTATGGGGGGTTTTATTTCGGCAATTTCAGAAATGCTGGGTTTTTTTTTCCGGTCATTTTTTTTATTCCAGACGTTTTCTTTTAAAGTCTCCTGATTGCAATATCTCTGGTTTTGGAGCTCTATGGGACCCATTTTGTTTTCTGTTGACTTTTACATGAATGCTCCTGGGTTGCTAAGAGAAGACGGCATAGAGACAACAGGAACATGTCAGGTTTCTTAATCTATAAAGCTATGCTGGGCCTTGTATTAACTCGGTAGCTGAATAGGAGAATACTAATTAATACCGGTTTGTATGTTCGTATATACTGTATATCTATGATAATGGTTTTGATGCTCTCTTGTTTTCCCCTTTTCCTGTGTTCATTATACAACTATAGAGTATCTCTGTCCTTGAATTGAACAAAAGTAATTGTAGATTTTTCTTCTTCTCTCAACCCTAAAAGACTGTTTTCACAGTTCAGCTTGTGCTGGTTTTCTTTTGCTTTTGTCTTTTTAGGATGAATTAATTACAACTAAAAGGAGTTATGAAGATCAACTGAGCATGATGAGCGATCACCTTTGTGTTATTAATGAAACATTATCAAAACAGCGGGAAGAAATAGATGTTTTAAAGTTGACTAGCAAGGTGAGTGACTTTGGTGTACATTTAACAAATATATACAAGCAGAGCGCTGGACTTGTGTTGCTTTCCAGACCTTTGTTTACTGTGTTGGTTAGCTGCAGATAGCTCTCTAGGTCCAGGCTCTGGTGTGACCCAGTCTTTGAAGACCTATTTGTGTGTGGAACTTAATCCTCCTGTCCCATCGCACTCCTGACCGGACAAAAACCCAAATCCAACTGGGTGGGTGCGGTGGTGACAACGGATGCCTCCGTGAAATGTAGATAGATGAAAGTAGTCACTCGCACTCAATGATATTAAAGTCAATGCTGTTTATTGACTGAGATAACACACATCTCCTTAGCTAAGGAGATGTGTGTTATCTCAGTCAATAAACAGCATTGACTTTAATATCATGGAGTGCGAGTGACTACTTTCATCTATCTATTTGTGTGTGGGCCCATGGACAGGGTGAAGATATCACCTTCAGGTACTGGGCTCTGCTTGTTGCGCATTCTAGAATATTGTGTACTGTTAGTTGGCCACAGAGTCCTCTCCAGGTATGTCTCTGACAACTCCCTTATTATATGTCTAAGCATTGGGAGCTACTACAATACTGGTACTGAATAGTTACCCCATGTTCCATTGGTTCTCTGTGGAAAGGGTTAACACACTGGGGAATAAAGTGCTATGTCACCAGCTGAAGTATCATGTGTGTGCACTCCCCACACTGTTTCCATCTTTTTCACTGTGAGATAGTTTCCTCCCTACATTGCTCCTCCTGCATAGTGACAGGCAAGGGTTTTTGCCTTGGATAGTCCTTTTTGCAACCCATAGTGACCTAGTCAACTCCGGCCTTTTAATCTCTCCTGCTTTCAGCAGCAGGTTTTATGAGTACCTAAAATGTTTTATTCTGTGTCTTAAATGACGTTGCCACAGTTTGGCAGAGCAACATGTTGGATCCCAAGTGCAAAGGGAGCTGTCCCCCTTTATCCGGTCTCTCCATTTTGGGATCCACGAACAGTTGTGGGGTGACCTGCAGAGACTTGACAACAATAGCCTGGGTTGTCCACACACTCTTTGGAATTTTCCATAGCTCCATCAGGTGTGACCCCTCCACTTTAGGACCCCTAATGTCACCTAGGGACCCCCAAAGAAACTGATAAAGCGGAGACCTGCTTCTCTCTGACTTATGTAGCTGGAGGAAAGACAGCTGAATGAAGTGATGAACATCACTTCCGCATTCAGAGACCAGAGAGGAGGTCATAGTGAGATCATGTGCTGATCTCTGTTCACAGAGCTGCCATGCTGGTCCCAGGCACAGTGGAGCCCGTGATCGGCGAGGGGTGAGGGCGCACTGAGAGGTACCAATACAAGCGATTGGGCAGTATACAGCTTATAAACAGTTTATAAATGCCCTCCTGCATTCAAGGAAGCGGTTAAGAGAATTATGTGGTACACCTTTTTTTTGCATTTTTAGTTTCCTTATGATACAGGAGTAAATTTTGCAATGTTCTCCTGTAATAAAAAAAAAATGTGCACCATAAGCTTACAATTCAGTGTACTATACTGTGGGTAGCGCTAAGCTCTGTGCTGAGAAGCGATCCTGACAATATTGTCGGGATCCTCCTCTCCCATTGAGTGACAGCAGCTTGTAGTACTGCTGCATGTTCATGAGAATCTGTGCAGGCGCAGCAGCTCAGGGCACATCCTATCAAAGTTTGCAGGTTACAGGTCTACAAACACTTGCACATCCATCCCGCAGTTTGTCCTCCGTCTCCCCCTCCTCTCTCTCCTCCACACTGCTATCTCCAGACAATACACATAACACATCAGCGCTAAGACAGTCAGTTCAGCTCTGTCATTGCCCCCTTTGCTCCATGCTGTTGTCTTTATCTCTTCTTCTCCTTGTATGTCCCAAGACAACAGTGTGAAGTGGAGGGCAGTGAGGATGGAGCTGAACTGATAGTCTTAGTGCAGATCTGTTATGTGTATTGTCTGGAGACAGCAGTGTGGAGGGGAGGGGGGAGACGGAGGACAAACTGCTGGATGGATGTGCAAGTGTTAGACCTGCGACCTAACATACAGCTGATACTCATGTAAGAGGCCCCCCAGACCCACATTTCAATGTAATCCCGCCCAGTTTTTTGGCGGTGACGTGTGTGACCACCAATAGGTCAAGCATTCCAACACTTTCTCAGATGTTCCAGGGCAGATCGCTGTCACAAATCGTATGTGCAGGAGAACTGATCTGCCCTGGAACAGCTGTTTGGTCCTGAAATGTCACAGGTTAAAAACAGAGGTTTAGATACGCGTCTTCTGTAGAAAATGTGAAAGCCGCCTCGCCAAGGCACCTCTATATAGTGCAGTCCTAACTCTAAACTATATGAGAGTCTCCATCTTGGAGCACATGTGGCAAAATAAAAAATTGGGTGCAGGTTTGTCAGGAGAAGGCACAGGAACGCACAAGGGACCCTCCATGTGTCACTGCACCAAATCAGTCAAGCAAAACACATGTCAAACACACTCATTAATTTGTAACCAGCTCTAAGCAAGGTGCACCCATTTTTTCTTTTCTATTGACCTTTTAAACTCTCATGCTTTCACCAACTGAAACTCCTGAGTCTCCCATAGCTCCATCAGGTATGGACCCCTCCTCTACCTTATCCAGGGGGGAGTTCTCTACAGCTATGCTAGAATTGCTGGACAAAATGGCAACTACGATTGCTGACTTGAAATGTAGAGGCCGTAAGCATACTTCTACATAAAATATAAAACCTTTCCTGCAATATTCACCTTCAATCCAGGAACTCCCCCACAGCACTTTTTTTTCCTGCCACTAGATGATCTCAGTTTGATGGTCAGCATCATTCAACCCACAGGTCACCCTGGACTCGTCCCAGCCTGTGACTGGACAGTGAAAGGAGAAGCAGCACAGTGATGAGCTCATGTCACTCTTTCTCCGCCTATCAGTATGCTATTTTTCAGCACATTTACTGATTGTCTTCTTGTACTGCTTCTTCCTCTCACACTTCAGCTCTGCTGTAAAGGGACTGCAAAAGGCTGACACCAGGTCAAATTCAGGTACTACACTGCTTACAGTAAAAAAAAAAAAATGAATGGTGTATTGATGATTCAGGGCTGCATCAATGTGTGTCCTCTATATCTGCCTGGAGTTCAGCTTTTAATTCGGTTATGTTAGGCCGCTTTGTAAAATGTACTCGTTCTTTAAATATTTTTCATCTTTACTGTCTAACAAATGTCTTTCTGTTTCCCCCAACCCCCTCGATGTCGTGAAAAATTATATAAAAAGAAAGTTAGTAATTCCATTCGGTATTCCAGCTCTGTAGTTTGTTCATCTGTTGGAATTATCTGTGCTAAATGCACACCAAACCTCCAAGCAACTGTTTCATTCCATTTTGTCTCTCTCGCGCTCTCTTCGAAAGTGTCATGCTGCTGCTTGGTTTCACAAAATGAACGACATTTTATTAAATGATTGTGAATAACTGCAGTGTACATTTTAATTCATTTTCCTGTCCCTCTACATCTTCAGGGAAATTCCAAGAAGAACAAAAATCGATAGTGGATGGCAGTCTGGTCAGGGAAGAGAACACTGCTGCTATATACACTGTAGATCAGTCTGTGAAGATGTCCTATGTCAGCTTATCCTTTGTAACATGTGTGAACCCGGATTCCTTCTCTCGGCAAAAAGGTCACCAAACCTAAAACACGTTCAACCTTTAGGTCTCATTCACACTGCCGCACATATGCGCACATATGCGCGCGTACGTGCGTATTGTACCATATGCAACCTATGCAAATAAATGGCTCCATACACACAGCCGCGTATAGAGCCGTATATTTGCGTAGCGTATATATGCGCAAAAACAGAATGGAACAGAGATGCGTCCGGACAGCATATTTCTGCGTATTTACGCGCATATACGCGTGTAAATGCGTATAGCACATAAAAAATTCCATTATGAGTGATGCATTCTGGGATTGAATATAGTGCACGCATATACGCTCGTATATACGCAATATACAATTTTGCTTGCGTTGTGTGTGAATGAGGCCTTAAAGGCCTACTCCACCCAGCAGTTATATTTAAGTTTAGGGTGGATGACACTTGATTGGATCACTGGTTAGTTTTATATGACTTCTGCGGAGAGCTTTTCCATGCACGGGTTTGTGTCTCTGCCCTCTCCTACGAGTGCCATTTTCTTGCAGCTGGACTCCCAAATGATTTGCTTTTTTTGTGGAAAATACATTGAGCGGGGGACGTGACACAATTATCTGGCATTCTAATAATGGTGGCAGAAGTTCGGCACAATTAGGAGTTTCAGTGGAGATTTGGTATCTTCCCAGTTGGTTGCCAGAGAGAATTAACGAGCTAGCATGAGATTCAGTGCACCTGTACCTATACATTGCTCCTCTAGTTTTGTAGCTTGCAGTAAAGGAGGGGGTAGGGAGGTAGAAACTGACCCTGTTTTATGAAGGATTTTGTAGTGAGGTTTTGTGCTACTGAATGACGGTAGCAAAAAGGGAACATTATGGCAAGAGAAGACTCAAGTAGGTCATGTAATGAAGCTCCAGCTTTGTATATGGCAAACATAACCACTACATGTGCTGGAAGGATTTTTTAAAGTTAATTTCCCATTCCTGTTCAGAAGATATTACAGACATAGGTCATCTTCAGGAAGTGTTACTGCCTTCCTTTAGTGCAGTCATCAATGTGCCTTCAACAGCCTGAATAACAATCTCACTCTCTCACAGCTTGAAGCGCAGAGCTTGTTCGTCAGGGTAGCAAACCACCCACACATCCTTTACTGATCATTCGTCTGCCAGACATAGGAAATGTCCTTGTACTTTTATGCAGTTAGACACAGATAGACGATTTCCACATAGGCAACAAGAATACTTCAAAGACGCTATTCAGAGAAAAGTGACTCAGAGCAGCAAATAACATTCCAGAAAAGGTTACATTTAAACTGTTGATTCTCAACATGTTGATTACCTAGAAGGTGAATATCCACTTTAGAAACAAACCTTTCAAAATGCACGAAAGCCTATATCCCAGGGACAAAGCAGGTACAGCATTTACTTTCCCTACTCGCCTCCTTCAGTATTTGATTTGCATATATCACTAGAACGTAGTTTTCCAGATTTAATTAGAAATCCATTGCTGCTTCTGACCCTTTCCTGTACCTTCCCACATTTCTCCATCAGCTGCTGTTTCAGACCTTTTCCTGAAATGTCATCTCAGGGTGAGACCTGGTATAGCAGCTCCTCAGGGAATGATAAGAACTTTGATCACTGAATGTGGACTGAAATCTTCAGAAGTGGTGGGGTTGGGGGATTGTTCAGAAAAGCAGTAGCAAACCTTTTAAAGCACCAGAAAACCTAAGCTATGACTTGAGCTAGTGGTCATATTTCCAAACTTGTATGTAAAGGTTTTTTCAGAGGATCCGTAATTAATGTATACCATATGACCAAAATTATGTGGACACTTGACCATGTTAAGTTTCCAGTGAAGGGTTCTGTTAATGCTACAGCAAACAAAGATATTTTACACATTGTGTGCTTCCAACTTTGCAGCATAAGTTTAGGGAAGGCCCTTTTCTGTTCTAACATGACTATACCCCTTGCACAGAACCAGCTCCATAACAAATGACATGGTTTGATGTGGATGAACTCAAGTGGCCTGCAGAGCCCTGATATCAACTCCTTTGGGATGAATTGGAATGCCGACTGAGTCAGGTCTTTTCGGCCAACATCAGTACCTGATCTCGCAAATGCTGTTTTGGTTGAATGAGCACAAATTCCAGGCACACTCGAAAATCTTGTGGAAAGCCTTTGTAAAACAGTTGAAGCTGTTATAGCCTCAAAGGGGTCCAACTCCATAATGTCCATGGTTGGGGAATGGCATGTCCAGCAAAGTCATCTAGGTGTGATGGTCTAGTGTCCACAGACGTTTGGCCATATAGTCATGGACAAAATCCATGGTTATATGGCCAAACCCAAGTAAACATCCTAGTATATTAAAATACATCACTGTCTGTTTCTACAATAGCTGGTCACATGGAGCAATATGTGGAACTCAGCAGCTCAAAATTGAAGTAATTTGAGAAATATCTTCAGTCCTCCAAAGATAAGACATAGCTTATATACAAAATTGTGAGGGGTGATATTAGCTCTTTAATGCATGGTAAATGATGTTAAAGGTTTTCTTGTGCTTTTTAAATCTTAAAGCTGAGCTCCAGGCAAGCAGCTGAATATACAGTTGGAATACATGTATAGGAACAGTTTTGTCTGCCACAAGTTGTGTAATTGTGTGCACCAGCTTTGGGATCTCAACACTTCTGCCAGACAGCAAGGCCAGATCCCCAGTGTGCATTGCAACAGCAGCAAATCTTTGTGAAGAAGTATCCTCCAGCCAACTGATTTGGACACTGAAGGATCAGCAGAACTCACTTATGTGCACCTGGACAGAGTGATTGGTTTCTAGTACTGGCTCTCCCCGAGTCTTAATGCTGCTGTCCAGGCCTTTATAGGAAGCTGATATCAAAACACATTCAGGTACTTTCACTAGCATGTAAATATACATTTCTCTTCTTCATGGGGGCTACTGCCCATAGATCATAACCAGGGTGTATAGTTCCACCTGTAGTAGGAGGACGCTAGGTGCAAGCAACTTGGGGGAATGGCACCTTCTAGAGACCAAACCCCATAACTGCCATAAAAACTTAATCTGGTCCAGCTGCATCTTCATCTCAAGGAGGTTGCATTGCACTTGTTCCATTAGTGTATGGATATGAGGGCCATATGGGTAAACAAAAGTGTAACCTCCTCCTTTAGCAAGACAGATTCCTTACTCGTCATTACAGACCGTCCCTGCAAGGGACTAGTGGCATCTTCTTCCATTTTTTCTAATTGGATTATTCAGACTGTTTCTCAGACCTTTTGCTCTATAGCATGAGAAGTGTTTATTTTATATATCACTGCATTCATATTTGTCTTTATTTTATTTGTGCCTGGAGTTCCGTTTTAAAGCATCCATGACCCAAAAGGAAATGTTGGTAATAATGTTATGAAACCTATCACCACTCCATTATTTTACCTCTCCATTCCTTTTGACAAATTTTTACATTGCACTTTTTTTTTTAATTAAAACTGAATTTTAAATTCATTACACTCTGGCTTTAAAGGTTTTTGTATTTTTCGTTTAGAAAGAAAAGAACACATTTAATGTCTGTAACTGTATATTTTTTTGTACAATTTATATTACGTTGTGTCCTTCTTTGTGACCTCATTTTACAGAGGCTTAAAGGGAATGATTTTAATACCATTCAACGTCTGTTTACTTGCAAATTGAACAAAAATGCCTCCAGTGGTTTAAACCTTAATGTCTGTAAAATAATAATAAAAAAAGAAATGAAGTTTATCAATAAATTGTTAAAAAAAATGTATATGACTACTTTACTATGAGTGCAGGCCAAAAAATTCCTAAATGTTTTGCAATCTGTTATTATTCGGTTATCATGAAACCAGCATCAAAACAGTTGATTCATGTTGGTTGTTGGGCAACAACGTCCCTAGTAACCAGTGTGTTTTTATATACTCCCATTTATAATTGCAGAACTGCAGTGAGTTGCCCCCACTCAAATATTTCGCACATGTTCCTGGCCAAGGCCTGAAGTAAGCCAGCGCTGAGGCATTTGCCAGCAGGTTGACTGATATCAGCATAGATAAGAATATGTCACCAGCACACCATGGATCGGTAATCAATAGTCCAAGCTTTATTGAAAGTGGACACATCACAAGAAGTGCAGGTGCAACGTTTCAAAGCCATGCTGGACCTCTTCGTCAGACATGTAATAACTCGGACATCATATGCCTGATGATGAAGAGATCCTGTCTGGCCTCGAAACCTTGCACCATTGTTTCAAAGAATGTGAAAACTTGTGACTGATGGCAGGTTTTAGAGGCGGGAGATTTTCACTTCCTGGTGTATCTCTGGGTACAGGGAGTGCAGGAGTCTCCCTGGCTGGGACACCGCAATAAAAACTGAAGAAGGTTCTAGACCATGAGTAGGCAACCCTGGCACTCCATCCGTTGTGGAACTGCAAGTCTCCTGAGGCACTGCAAGACTCTGACAGCCACAGGCATGGCTCCCAGAGGCAGTAATGGTAGGAATTGTAGTTTTGCCACAGCTGCAGTGCCGAGGTTGACTACCCCGTTCTAACTTTTCATCACGAGAAGTGAACCATTTGATTAGGCAGAACTTTGGGTAAATAAAGATTTGATAAAGAACACGTGCACATCTCAGGTGTATGAATTTACTGTGCGAGCCCAGACACACTTTATTATATACTCCCAGTTTTTCTACATCTGCTCTTTTATCTTTTATGTCCTTGTCCATTTAAATGTACAGCTTCCAGAAGGTGGCATAACAAGCCAGTATAACACACTGTTCTTTAATACGGCAACAGAAGGCTGCAAGGTTTCCATTAAGAAGTCTTATCTGTTGCCGGTTCCTACTCATGAATCATGGATTTAATTGGTGTGCAGTTCATTTAAAGGGAGATCATTCTCCAAACGGCATTGTTTGTTAAGCGGGAGGGATGAAAAAACATGTCTTTGGAATGCGCAGAATTGGAAAATTAATGAATGTCGGAATGTTTTGCCACTTAATCTGATTGAAATTCAGGTTGCAGCTCAAAACACAGAAAGGCAT